GTGGTATTTGATTCATATTTCAAGACTAAAACTCTCATTAGTCTTCTGTGACCTAGTTCGCTTGCTATTTGTTTAAAGACATTAATGAGAATGTGAAATGAGGCAGGGTTTTCTATCCATAATAAACTAACCTATTTTCAGAGCATATCTGTAAAAAGCAAACTGTCTTTATCGTAGGCTAAAAAAATGGAAAGAACTGTATATTTCTCAGTTGGTCTCCCTGAGCCAAATATGTTTTCTGCTACCTTTAGTGTTTTGATATTTTTTAATGGAAAAAAAAAATTTAAAAAAAAAAAAAAAAAGAGAGAGAATAATATGCTAAAAAGATCAAAGCCCAAAACCCTAATACAGTTAACAACCTCCATTCTTGGAATTGTATTCATTATTGATATCTGAGCAAAAAATCTATTTAAGTCATTGGAGATGGCCTATGGTAATTAAAAGAAAATTTGGTCCTTAAGCCTTGTCTCATGAAAGAATAATAATAAAAGCTATGGGGAACTACTTACAGTGACACATTAATAGACTTACTATTTTTTGGTTCTGTTTTAATCAAATACACCTTTAAGAATTATCAAGTTGTCACTGGCAAAGCAAAGACTTCATATGACTTAATATTTAGATATTTGGGGTTTGGATATTGCATTTGGGTATGAGAAAGAAATGTAATGTTCACTATGTGAAATGTATTTTATCAAAGACAGATTCAGAAGGAAATAAAGGAAAGCTAACTACTATTATTTTATGCTAAATAAAAATTCCTCAGTAATGGATTTTTCTTATATTCCCACCAAAAAAATCCCTGAGTTGATGTGGTTTTGATGTATGCATTTCTACTTTTCTTTTAACCTAAGTTCTAATTCCATCACCACTTTCTCCCTCATAAGTTCTGGATGCACCTTCTTCATTCTAGATACATGTTTTATTTAATGCTATGTTACTATATTACGTATGTTTAATTTGGTACACTGCTTTTACTTTCCTCCATATTTCTATACCTAGATACCAAAGGTTGAGGTGAGTACATAGATGAAACACAGCAAAACAACCCTCAGTGAAATCATAGAATGCTTTGGGTTGGAAGGGAGCTTTAAAGGTCATCTAGTCCAACACCCCTGCAATAAGTAGGGACATCTTCAACTAGACCAGGTTGCTCAAAGCTCTGTCCAACTTGACCTTGAATGTGACCAGGGATGGGGCATCCACCACCTCTCTGGGCAACCTTACCACCCCCATCATAAAAAATCTCTTCCTCATGTCCAATTTAAGTTTACTCTCTTTTTACCCCTTCTCCTATTACAGCAGGCTAAATGTATGCTAAAATGTCTGTCCCATCTTTCTTATAAGACCACTTAAAGTACTGAAAGGCCACAATAAGATCTCCCTGAAACTTTCTTTTCTCCAGGCTGAACAACTCCAGTTGTCTCAGTCTGTCTTCATAGGAGAGATATTTCAGCCCACTGATCATTTTTGTGTCCCAACTCTGGATGTGCTCCAGCAAATCCCTGTCCTTCTTATACTGAGGACTTGAGACCTGGGCTCAGTACTACAGGTGGGGTCTCAGAAGAGCAGAGACGCAGAATAGTTTCAGATTCATTCCCAGATCAAAACATTTATCTCTTCTGTGTGTCTGTGCTACCTCTGCCATTATGGGCCCTTTCTGTACAGTTGATGCTAATGCACCTAAGCTTCTTTGTCAGTTCCTGAGGAAAATGTGTCAGTGTTGGAAGAAACAGCTGAACATTGGCCTATTATGTAAGAAGAGATCCATACTCAGAGATGTTGATTTTCTACATGGTAAATAGGCTTTATGAAATAGGTGAAATTTTTTTAAATATATTTTTAACTGTTATATTTGTGTTAAATTAAGAACAGAAAGAAATGTGTGCAGGAAACTGATGCTCTAAACGATTTGAGAAAAGAAGAAAATTTAAAGGTTATTTACTTGATATTATGTAGCGCAAAGTTCTCTTTTTGAGTTAGCTGGGTCAAAAATGTATAAAGAAGAAGCTAATTGTTTTATTCTGAGGCATAGAAAAAAATGAAAAGGACCTAGGACAAAGTCTCTGACCTTATGAGCATGATGTCTTTCACTGGTCTGAAACACCAGAGGTCTTGAACCTGAGCATCTAATTTTTAAAGAATTAAACAGTTCTGTAAATTGTTCCTGATTTACAAGTTGTTGGTTTGGTTTTCTATTTTAGCATCGTTAACTACTAGAATTTCCTTTGTAGCTGGGAAAAGTGATTTTGAAATGGTAGATCTCTGTGCATTACATTCTAGTTTAAGCTATAATTATTTATATAGTAAAGAGCTATTCAATAATATATGAACAATTGATAATATGGATATTTATATGTCTGTTTTCTTTGCCTTGGTTTCAAGTTTTTTATCTGAAACACACATAGTCTGATGTATAAGTTGTTCTCTAGAGAAAATAGATTTTTGTCAGTAGATTATCCAATTTTCTTTGAACACAGGAATATTTTTACAAACAGTAGTTTCTAGAAGTAAGCATTCTGTCATTGTCAATTATATTTGATAAATAATGTGATTTTTATATGGATAAAACAGAGTAAAAACAAAATTACAGCTAATAGTAGTCTACCATTCAGTAAGAATAACTTCAAGGACAACTTAATGTGCTACTATATTATCATCCTTTATATGATATACAAGGTGATAAGGTCTTCAAATCCATACATTTACTTTTGCATTTTAAAGTCTCAAATTAAAAACAAAATTGGCATTGTATTTTAAAGTGGTTTTTTTCTGAAGATGATATTTTAATAGACCAGAAATTGCATTTTTTCTCTATGGAGCCACGAAAGAAATATGATTCATCTGGTCCTACTGCAGTTAACATATGGTGATACTTCTTATCCAAAAGGTGGTATCAGAAGTTGTTCTTTAATTAGAGAATCTGAGGAAACAAAGTACTGCGAATGCTTGCAGTGCAATCTTCTGCACTAGAGCAGTTCTTACCTTGTTTTATAATGAGAACAGATTTTTTTTTTTATTCTTCCAAAGCTTTAATGTTTACAAATAAAGTTCTTCTGCATCAGTATTGGTCAGATCAGGCAGGAACTAATTACCCCAGATCAGGAATAATGATGTAAGTTAAATCAGTTCCTTTCAGTCCATGGATTTAGCTTTAAGATGATAAACACTAGTCAACATGGTTCTCTTTACTGGAATTGTTTTTTTCAGAATGCATGCAAGGAAAATGTTTTGCTCATTGTGTCAAGACTTTAATTTACCTTTTGGGTGAATAAATTATGGATAAATCACCTGTAAACTAAAATTAGATGATTTTATGTAATTTTCTTACTCAACAAAATTACCCTTACTACCTTTGCTATACTAATACAGTAAAATAATTTAGAAGGTTTGTTATTGTTCTGATCTCTACGATAAAGGAAATTCTGTGCGTCAGTAAACTTTAAATCCTCAACTCTCCCTAAAAATAGAATTCTTGTGATAAGGATTTTAAACTTCTTTTTTAAAGGAGGAAATGTTTTTGCAAGCTCTTTACTTGATATCAAATATCTTCCAGTGATGATCTGCACTACCAACAGCTGAAATTTAATACTTGGCTATAAATGAGCAGAATAGACTTTAGCTGTAGACAGGGAGTAATTTTGATGACAGTTCTCAAGAAAACAACAACAGAAGTAATTACAGCAGATTGATCTGAAACAAAATATATGCCACACATCAGTGTGTGTTAATACTCAAAATTTAAATAATTTTAGATCTTTGTGTGGATACTGTCTGAAAGTTTTGGGGGGGTTTTGTGTTTTGTTTTTTTGTTTGTTTTTTTTAAATTACAGAATAACATGAGTTTGTATAGATAAAAAGAGCTTTTTTAATTTGGTATTATGATTCTGAATGAGAAACCCCTAGGAGTTAATCACTATCCTGCAGTAAATGGTCTAGACCTAAATAACTTCTGCTCTGTAGCTGAACTCTCTGAAAATGTTTCTAAGCACACCCTTTCAGAGTGCCACGCTCATCATCCTGGTGCCATTCCTGAAACTAAATTTTTCATTCTAAATCTTCAAACATAATTGGTCCTTCAGTGTTGATCCTTCCAGATATCCTCTGAAAAAATTATTCCCACAATGTTATAATAATTTGTTAGATCCCAAAAATTTTTGATCACATTTTATATTCTGTAAAGCCAGAGATATAAGAAATTTACAGATGCATTCTAATTTCTTCTAGACACAGAAAGTATAACTTATACAGGAATATCCAGGGAGGAATATCCAGAATGCTTTAATCTGTCCTCTTTCTTTTTTGTCTAAGCTTAGTCTTATCTTTCACTCACATCAATAGTTTGTTGGAGACAGAGATCTTTAGTAAGGTTTACATTCCTCCTATCAGGTTTCTGTGCTGTAGCTCATGTACACTTACCATGCAATTCACTATTTCAGTTACATGAAGTCCCTCTGACTAGAAAAATTTGCTCTTGAGGCTGGAGGCTGCTACTGGTGATGAGATGCCTCCCCTTCAAAGGAGGATTAGGAGATTAATGACTCTTCATTGCTAATTCTCTACTGGTTGTCTCAGATTCTCTCTTCGCTTCTTTCTGGGTATTCAATCTAATATGCAGGCTAAATGACCAAAAAGAAATGTGATTGTAGAGGGGTTTAAGATTTCAGGCATGCGCTAATCCATCATTATCATACAGTTAAAGAAGAAAATAAAAAAACTTCTGGCAGCAACAAAAATGGTTGTAGATAAATAGGAACGTATTCTGATGTCCTAATATTAACCTGTGCTAATAAACCTATATATTTAGACACACTTTTGCAGCTTTTTCCTGAGCATTCACGATGCTGATGCTTATAACACAGTTCAAATAATTGTATAAAACCCATAGTAACTCAGGAAATAGTATCTTCATGACAACATAGGTTCAATTTACAGTTTTGACATTATCTATCAATTATGCTTATGTATGATCTTCCATTTATGTTTGCTTTGGCTTTTAGCTCCAGACCAGTCTGTCTGAACCAATGACTTTATCCAAGTCGATCTCACTTCCTCGTAGTGCATATTGGCATCACATCACCCGGCAGAACAGCGTTGGAGAAATCTACAGTTTACAAGGCAAGTTGCTTATAATGCAATGTCCATTAACTTCTTTCCATTTGTCCAGAATTCATGAAAATTGCTTTTTATTTACACTGGTTATTTTCTCTCCATTTCACTTTATCAATTGTCAGGAACCTCAGCAGGATTCCCAAATTTACATAAAACAGGTTTCTTTTAGTCATTTTGTAAACTAATGGTGAAAATTATTCCCAGAATCACCACATAAAGCTGGATAGACAATTTGGCTCAGTGTAGCTTCTCAGTAGCTAATGAATGTCAGGTTGTTTTAGTATTTTCTTCCAATAAGATGGGGCAAGTATTTGGGCAACCTCAGGGTGCCTAATTAAATCTACATAAAGTGGCTATATGAGTTGTAAGATTAAAACAAAGTAATTCTAGGAATAAGAGCTATTCTTGGTTATAGGCCTTCTGTATAGACATCATCTTTTTCTGTCTCCAGTTTTCTATCACATGTTTAGATTTGCTTAAGCCTTTAAATGCTATAATTAACAAAACTTGATGATGATAATTCACTACTCTTAAGCTGAAATTTTAGGAAACTGAAATTATTGTTACATTTTAAATGTAGACCTTTTAAAAATAGCCTTTCATAAACATAATCCTTTGTAAACTTCTAAAGGTGTTCACTTCTTTCTTAATAATGTATTTGCATAAGCATTTTACATTTTGATAGGAGGATAGAAACTGCTCACAAACAAGAGTATCCTGTGCAAAAAAAGGGTACATATTTTCATGAAAATAAGTGAAATGCAGTATATAGATGAAAGACATGAAATGTTTTGTTTTGTAAATTATTGCATAAATTAAAATGAGCAGGTGAGCTGTGAATTCAGTGGGTGACTCATTAAAGGGTAAAGCATTTGTTTCCCATCATCCTCCATAGAGCAAAGACAAAGTTGATTTCTAATCACGGTCATAGTCTTACGTTTAAATACCAGTAATGGAAAAAAAATAAAGTCATTTTCTAGAAGTTGTTTGGGCAAAAAAAATTTACTTGTACATCACCTTAAAAATATTCATCATATCAGTGGTATTTTTTCATGGACTCCATTAGAATGCAAAAGGAAGTTTATTTGTAGAGATGTCAGTGTTCCCCTTGTGTTCTTGATGTGTCTTTTCTTCATCAACAAGACAGTAAATGTGTTATGTTCATTCTCTACAATCTTTCTTTTCTTATAAATGGCCTTCAAAATGAGGGTAAGCAAAACTTTTTATATGAAGTAATAGTTCAATATCTATAGCAAGTAACCGTGCAGGATTCAACATATTGGAAGTGTATTAATAAAAATGTGAGAATTTTACTTTCTGGAAGTATGCAGATTTTATTAACACTTCCACTGAAACATGGGACTAACAAATATTTCAGAACTTAAGATTTTTATTTACATATGATTTTCATCCCATGTACTATGATGACTTTAACTTGAGAAGGTGTAGTTGATTTCAGAAGAGATTAATTCAGTCTTACCAGTGGGCTAGGAAATGCATTCACAGGACAACTTTGTCTCCCTCTGGTTGCAAAACTTTTCCATACAAGAACATTATTCATTATCTGTAATGAAGATCTCCTTTAACCTTCCTTCTGCTGCAATGACTAATTAAATGCAATGTATTAGTACAGAAACTGAAGGGAGCTCAAAGTACACCTTTTCCTCCTAATACCTTGTCATACTGGTAGTCTTTGCACTGCAGGGTTGTCAAACCATCAGCCCACAGAAGCTTCATAGATGTGGGTGTAAGGTGGGTAGAAAGGAAGCAGATTGTGAGCATCACTTCAACCCTCACCTTATTACAGCAGCCAGCTGAGAGGGACTGTTGCAGAGGTAAAAGCTCACTGCTGCTGTGATCTCGTCTGAGCTTCAAAAGGTATATGTCCTCTCAGAGAGGAGATGTTTTCTTTAGAGAATAATCTGTCAAATGTAGTTCTGCACTGCATAGGCATTTATGACAAAGCTTCGTACATTCAAGAAACAAATTTGGAATTTCCCCACATACCTCTAAATATCTCACAAACTCTGAAATGAAATAACTGGAGTGGTGTCTACCTGTATTCAGACAATTATCAATATCAGTAAAGTAATAGCCAAGCTCACTGTTAAGTGCAAGTGTTTCCATAGTGGCAATTATTTCAAACTTGCAGTCTGAAGTGACCAGAATTTAATTAATAACAGCTGGTGATGTACAAGAAGAAATGAATATGTGCTCATACTACCTGAGATAAATTGGCTCTTTGGGAGTTATTTAGCAGTCAGATTTAACTTAATTAGTAGTGTGAGTTGATCTGATAATGAATATGCTGTGGAGTAAGAAGGTAGGGGGTTTTATGGTTTTTGGGTTTTTTAAAGACTACATTTCAGATGAGAAAAGGCAATTCAGTAAATGGGTATTGGGTCTATCACCCTCCATTAGCCCATGAAAATACATGTAAAAACCTGTAGAGACTTAACACACAGAATAATAGTACCAAATGAACACAGGTTGTGCAAAATATCTTAAAATGAGATGGGCTGGTTTCTATCTTTATACAACTTTTCTTCCATTTGCACCTTCCTTGCACTCTTTCAGTTCTTGATTGCACTACTAAGATAAAAGTAATTTCGTCTTCTAATCTTGTCAGTTGGAACAACTTGGTGGTTGTTTCTTACCAGTGTCAGCACATCACTACCAGCATTCTCTTCAAATTTCACAGTGCAGTGCTGCAGGTTGGACAGTTTCCATCTGTGATCTGCAGCCACTGTGGAGGTTGTGACGTGGGGCCGCATTAGCTGACACAGTACTGCCCTTTCAGTACTGCCTGTCGCCTTTCCTCTCTGTCTGATGTGATATTGGGCATGGGACAAGCCTCAGCACTGCACAATAAAAAGGGAAATTGCTGCCATGCCAAAAAATAGCACAGTTATCAGGTTAAATTCTGATCTAAACTTCTGTGTTGGAGTGATTTCGCTTAGAATCCCAATTGATACCCATGGCTTCACAAATCACAATGCCTCTTTCTAAAGTGTATATATTGCCTTTAATTACAGTTCAGAAATTAAATATTTTAATAATTTAATTACATATTTTTAATCAAAAAATAGCTTAACTAAGAGTGAAAAAAAAGAAAAAGATCTCTACACCATTTTTGTGCATACATGAGTATGACATAAATGAATTGTACGTTTTCATAAATATAATAAAGAATAAAGAATTTGAGCCCAACAGAAGATAAATGTTCATTGCTATGTTATGCACCCTATTGTAGTGGTTTGAACCTTGTTTTCCCCCCAAAGGCTGAAAAAGTGGTAACCCCCAGGGGTGGAGACCCCTGGAAGTTTTGAAGTTCTGCCCAATTAGCACTCCTGCAGAAATGTAAACATATCACAAGCACCGGAAGAGAAGGGTTGTAGTTTGGGTTGTTAGAAGAGGTAGCCATGATGTAACAGCCACGAGGAAAGGGGCCCGGAGCCCCTCGGGGCCTCTGGCCCCCCCCCCCCAGCCCAGTTGGGGGCTACAGAGACAGAGCAGAAGCGGCGGCAGTGTCCAGAGACTCCGGATAAGAGCCAGGACAGATAAGAACTGAACCGGAGGAAGCAGCAGAAGAGAGAGCCCGCAGCAGAACTTCAGAGTTCTGGGGGTAGGAACTGTACCAAACCCCCAAACTCCTTGAAACCTCCTGGAAGGAGGAAGATGATGGACTCTTACTTGAAAGAGCCTTGGAGTGCTACAGCACTTGCAGAGAGGAGCTGAGAAGCTCAAAGGCGTCCTGGGAAGCTGGACCGGGACGGAGAAGGAATGCGGGGGGGGTTGACCTTGGCCCCCCTCGCTGCTGCTGCTAAGCTAGCAGCCTTGAGACAGAGCACAGAGCTCTGCAAAGGGGAATTTGAATCCCCTGAGGAAAGGGACTGCCACGAAGACCCCTGAGCTTCGTGGTATGACGTGGTGACGCGAACTTGTCCCTGCTACGCAGTCCACGGAAGAGAAAGACCCTCGTTTTGGAGACGACGGGCCGAGGGGCCTGGAGACCCCCTTGTGTGTATTGAACAGAGATCCAGCTACAACAATCCAGTTACTGCTGCATGCATGAGATGAGGAGAACCTGCTGCCTTAGAAGAAGCTGCCGCTCTGAGAGACTGGAAAGGATCTGTCCTTCTTTCCCTCCTGGACTTTTATATGGAGGGGAGAGGAGATCTGATCCATTGTAAATACTATATGTCACGGTAGAGATAGTTGTGATCGTGTGTATAATGTGTTATAGTATTTATTTGTACAGTCATTGTAATATATTCCCTTTCCCCCACTTTGAGTCTGGTTGTGTTTTGTCTGGAAAAACCCATCTCACATTGGGTTGAGATGTGGGAGGGGGGATGGAGCTAGGGAATTGGATTTTGGGGCTATCTCAAACCATGACACCTATACATCAAGATCTACAAAAGCATGAAAATTAGAAGCCAAGATTAACCTTGTTAAGTGAAATCATGCTTAAGAAGAAAAAAATACAAGAGCCATATAAGCATGGGAAAGAAATACCCTACGTGTTTCCTTATAACTCATTTGTTGTTAATACCTGGCATAAAATTTAGCACTGCTACACGAGACATTTAAAATTGACAAAAAAAGCACATGTGTTTTTATACAATAAAAGATATTAAAGAGAATAAATCCTTTTTTTTTAGGGCTTTAAATTCGCTTAGGATGAAAAAGGGAGAATTCAGCAGACTGAATTTTCAGCTATCTGAAGAACTCTAGTTCTTGCCCTATAGAGTTTGGATGATACAAATGTTTAACAGAGTCAGTTTGTATATTATTATAAAATTAAGACCAAATAAATTTTTGGTATTGAAATGCTCATTAGCTTGTTGTATTGCAGTTATTGAAATCCCTGAGGAAATTATGTTCAGAAAATCTAATTACAGCCTGGTCTTTTTCCAAGAAATTCAAAATTAAGAAATGCTTTCAGTCACTCCTGTTGTGTTTGATCTGGCTTATGCTCATTTTTTGAACTTTGGTTTTGCTAT